TTGAGCCACAGCACCACTTCCAGCTTTTTCTGCTTATGTGGTGCTGAGGAATCGAACCCAGGGACTCATGCATGCAAGGCAAGCACTCTACCACTAAGCCACCTTCCCAGCCCATTCCCTCATCACTTTGGTGAAGGAAATATGAGCAACAGGACTAAAGCATCATTTCTGGTGGAGGATTGAAAAGTAGGTGATGACAACCACATTCCTGTCTCTCCCTCTAACCCTTGTACAGGCACAGTGAAGGAACTTCCTTCCGCCACCGCTGAGGGCAGTGTGGAGCCGAGGCCCTTGTTCCCACCCCCAGCATCCTGTGCCAGGCATGTTCTGTGAATGTAAACTAACCTTTTAGTATTTTTAAGCCACTGAGACTGCTGTCTCCTAAGGATCATCTTTGCTCTCCATCCCTAAGCTTGTTGTACTAGTCAGCCAAAATGAAATACCTGAGGTATTATGAAGAAAAGAGGTTTATTAACGGCACAGTTTTGGATGTTTAAAGTCCGACATGAGGCAAACACCATTAGTTCGACATCTGATGAGGGCCTAAAGTGGATGACGCCCCCATCATGGCAGGAGCTCCAGTGTGACAAAGCATCACCTCGACAAGCAGAACTGGGATCCTGTGGTTCTTTCTAAGGATACTCCGCCAATGACCTGAGGCCCTCCCACTAAGCCCCGCCTCTCAGAGCTCCACAGTGTCTCCTAAGATCCACCTTCTGATTGGACACCCTACAGACCAAACTCCAACACTTAATTCACAGCACCTGCCTTCTCCCCACTCCCTGAAAACATGGGGTCTACATTACAGATCGAAAAACAGCAAGAACAAAAGGGAGTCAGAAGCCAGCTTGCATGACATCTCTACCCAGCCCTGAAAGGCCACAGACTGTAGCTTCAAGAGGTCTTGAGCATCTATCCCATACTCATTTATTGGTTTCTCTTTTAATTCTATTCCCCAGTTCTAAAGTAGGAATGGCTAGGTTGGCAAGAGGAGCGCCGGGATACCAAGTCCTGGGGACACTGAAGGCTGACAATGACCTTGCAGGCCTGGATCTGAACCTCCTCTTCAGGGTGGATGACCAGCGCAAGCAGCCGGTCTGCCAATCGGGACTCATCCCCAAACAAGGCTTCGTGTAGGGACTGTTCGTTGTAATGCCATTTCACAGCTCGATAGTGGGGTACGTTCTGACCTTCACTCAGCCGCTCTGCAAACACCAGTATCTCGAAAAGCAGACTTGGTGGTTGTGTGGACTGGAACATGTTCAGGAAATTGCAGTGTACCTGCCACGTGGAAACGGAGGAGAACACAAGTGACGTCGCGGGCAGGTTCTCACATTCTTATTCTTTTGGACTTCTATTGTCCTGACTTATCATTGCACACAGGTTTTCCTTTCCTTTCCATTCTTGTTTGCCTCGTTTAATTATATTGTGGTCATAAAACAAGAGATATGGGGCTGGGAAGGTGGCTCAGTGGTAGAGCGCTTGCCTTGCATGCCTGAGGCCCTGGGTTCCATTCCTCAGCACCACATAAGCAAAAAGAAAAAAGCTGGAAGTGGCGCTGTGGCTCAAGTGGTAGAGCGCTAGCCTTGAGCTGAAGAGATGAGGGACAGCGCCCAGGCCCAGAGTTCAGGCCCCACGACCGGACCCAAAAAAAAAAAAATACAAGAGATATGATTCTAATATGGATTCAGGAGCCAGGCAACGACAGCATACACCTATAATCCCAGCTACGCCAGAGGCCAAGATGTGAAAATCTGACTTTGAAGTCAATCAAGAGACTCTCATCTTCAATTAACTAGCAAGCAACTAGAAGTGAAGCTGTGGCTCAGGTGGTAGAGCACTAGTCATAATGGGAAAAGGCTGAGCAAGAGCACAAGGCCCAGCAGGTGCCAGTAGTTCATGCCTGTAATCCTAGCTACTCAGGAGGCTGAGATCTGAGGGTCATGGCTTAAAGCCAGCCTAGGCAGGAAAATCCAGGAGACTATTATCTCCAGTTAACCACCAGAAAACCAGAGGTGGCCTGTGGCTCAAGTGGTAGAGTGCTAGCCTTGAGCTGAAGAGCTGAGGGACAGCGCCCAGGCCCAGAGTTCAAGACCTATGACCAACAATAAATAAATAAAAGAGCACAAGAACTAGAATTAAGGTGTAGTACAGGCACATAATAATGATGATGATGATGACGATAATAATAATAATATGGATTCTGGAGAAGTAGAGCTGTAGCTCAAGTAGTAACCTTAAGCAAAAATGCTAAGGGACAGTGCCCAGGCTTGGAGTTCAAGCTCCAGGACTAGCACAAAGAATATGTAAAGTAATATAATAAAATAACATGGATTCTGAAAATTTTGTTGAAACCAATATTAAGGTTTAGCATCTGGTTAATTTTTTATTTTATCTTATTTTTTTGTCAGTCATGGGGCCTGAACTCTGGGCCTGGGCACTGTCCCTGAGCTCTTCAGCTCAAGGCTAGCGCTCTACCACTTGAGCCACAGCAACACTTCCGGGCTGGTTATGTGGTGCTGAGGAATCAAACCCAGGGACTCATGCATGTAAGGCAAGTGCTCTACCACTGAGCCACCTTCCCAGCCCTCTGGTTTTTATAATTTGTGTGTGTATGTGTGTGTGTGTCAGTTGTGGGGCTTAAACTCTGGGCCTGGGTGCTGTCCCCAGCTCTTCAGCTCAAGGCTAGTGCTCTACCACTTGAGCCACAGTGCCACTTCCATTTTTCTGAGTGGTTTATTGGAGATAAGAGTCTCATGGACTTTCTTGCCCAGGCTGGCTTTGAACCGTGATCCTCAGATCTCAACCTCCTGAGTAGCTAGGATTACAGGTTATTTTTTTTAAATCACTTGAACTCAAGGAGATGAGTCTCACTGACATTCCTGCTTGGTCTGGCTTTGAACAGATTCTCAGATGTCAGCCTCCTGAGTAGCTAGAATTATAGGCATGAGCAACCAGTGTCCAGCTTTAGGGTATCTAATAATAATAAGTTCAAGTTTATTTGTGCTATGCACAAGTCTATCTTTACTAGTTTTTTTTTTTTCCTTTTCTTTTTGATGATCCTGAAACTTAAACTCAAGGCCTGGGCACTGTTCCTGAGCCTCTTTGTACTCAAGACTAGCTCTCTACCACTTGAGCCACAGCATTATTTCTGGCTTTTGTTGTTGTTGTTGTGGGTTGTGAGTCTTGAACTCTGGGCCTGGGCACCAGGCTCATTTTTGAATAGTTTATTAGAGATAAGAATTTCTGGCTTTTGTTGTTGTTGTGGGCCTGGGCACCAGGCTCATTTTTGAGTAGCTTATTGGAGATAAGACTCTCTCAGAAGCCAGTGCTGTGGCTCATGCCTGTAATCCTAGTTACTCAGGAGACTTAAGATCTGAGGATAGAGGTTCAAAGCCATCCCGGGCAGGAAAGTCCATGAGACTCATCTCCAATAAACCATCAGAAAACCACTTTGACCTGTGGCTCAAAGTGGTAGAGCACTAGCCTTCAGCTAAAGGGCCAATGCCCAGGCCCAGAGTTCAAGTCCCATGACTGACAAAAAAAAAGTCTCAGAGGGACTTTTCTACCCAAGCTGGCTTCAAACCATGATCCTCAGATCTCAACCTCCTGAGTAGCTAGGATTACAGGCTTGGGCCACCAGCTCAAGCTAGTTTGTTTTTTTGTTTTTTGTCAGTTGTGGGCCTGAACTCTGGGCCTGGGCACTGTCCCTCAGCTCTTCAGCTCAAGGCTAGCGCTCTACCACTTGAGCCACAGCGCCACTTCCAGCTTTTTTCTTTTTGCTTATGTGGTGCTGAGGAATCGAACCCAGGGCCTCAGGCATGCAAGGCAAGCGCTCTACCACTGAGTCACCTTCCCAGCCCCTGTCCCTGAGCTTTTGTGCTCAAGACTGACACTCTACCACTTAAGCTACAGTTCTACTTCTGGCTTTTTTTTCTGGTTAAGTGTAGATAGGAGTTCTCAAGGATTTTCTTGCCCCAGCTAATTTCAAATGGTGACCCTCAAATCTCAGCCTCCTGAGTAGCTAGGATAATAGGCATGAACCACTGGTGCCTGGCTTTAATTTCTGTTTTGTTCCCTGTGTTTCTAACTCTCAGAATTCAGAAAACTGCTCAAAGGAGAATGCCCTTGCAACAAAATGGCCTTTCATTGTACTGGGGGAACAGCTCTTCAGTGCACATAGTACACAGGCAGGAAAAAGAAGATAATTCATCAGGACAGGGTCTGTCTTGAGATACCTCTGTGGGCGTCTGTTAGCCCCGCTTCGCTTCTCACCTGGCAGTTGAGAATGTCATAGAGAAGGTCATTCTTCTGCGCTAGGTAGCTCAGTAGCCGCAGGGCTTGCACCTGAAGTGAGGAAAGGATAAAGCTTGAGGCACGGCTGGCCTCAGTGGGGAGAAGGTAGGATCCTCTGCCCTTTCCCCGAGGGGCTGTGCCTGCGCCGGCTGGCCCCCATGCCAGAGCACAGGTACCTGAGCCACGATGTAGTCGGACTGCATGATCTCCATCAGGGCGGGCATCACCCGCCGCAGCTGAGGATGCACATAGTCAGGCAGCGGAAGGTTGTTGAGGAGCCGGAGGCCTGCGACGTGCAGATCCGTGTCCCAGATGGTGGAGATCAGTTCCAGCACCTTGATGGAATGTTCCTGGGGTGGGAGACACAAGAAAAGGCTGAGTTTGTTTTTTTTTTAAGGGACAGCGCCTAGGCCCTGAGTTCAAGCCCCAGGACGAGTACAAAGAATATATAAAATAATATAAAATAACATGGAGCCGGGCACCAGTGGCTCACGTCTAGCTACTCAGGAGGCTGAGATCTGAGAATCGCAGTTCAAAGCCACTCTGGGCAAGAAAGTCTGTGAGACTCTTATCTCCAATGAACCACCAGAAAACGAAGTGGCACTGTGGCTCAAGTGGTAGAACATTGGCCTTGAGCTGAAGAGCTGAGGGACAGCGCCCAGGCCCAAAGTTCAAACCCCACGACAGACAATAGAAGTCCTGGAGCTTGGGCCTAGATACAGTCCCTGAGCTTTTCTTGCTCAAGGATAGCGCTCTACCACTTGAGCCACACTGCCACTTCTGGCTTTTTATTTTTATGTGGTGCTGAGGAATCGAACCCTGGACTTCATGCATGCTAGGATTTTTGCCCATCCTCCTCTTCCTCTTCTTTAGTGAGATCATCCAGACTTGCAGAAGTAAATACTGTCCATTCACTGAGGGCTTCCAGATTTGCATCTCCAATGAGAAACATATCCAGCCCAAACCCGAGTTGCCAGCCTCTGCCACTGGTGATACCGTCCTTCCCATGGCACAAACGAGCTACTCCAGCATTCGTGACTACCTCACACACCTCTTTTTCGATCCTTTAGAAACTCCTATGGGCTCTCCCTTCAAAATCCACAAGAAACCCAGCCACTTCGCACAACTCCACTTCTCTTTCTAGTCCCAGTACTGGCATGCGCGTGTGCACACACACACACACACACATGCATGCACACACGTATGCCAAGAAATTCGTTTACTTGTCTAAGTTGGTTTATTGCTGGCGCATGCGCCTCACTGTGGTTTATCACTGGCGCATGCGCCTCACTGTGGTTTATCACTGGCGCATGCGCCTCACTGTCGTTTATCACACGCCACTGCTGTCAAAAGATGTTTCCATCAGAATGACCAGGGAACCACCACCCTCGTGGGTCCCACTTACAGTCATTACCACCCACAACCCGGGCCAGAGCCCTGCAGACCCTCATCTGTTTTCCAGCTCTATTACTTTTTGAAAATGTTGTACAAATGAGACTCTATTTTAAAAAATACTGGGGCTTCAAGTCAAGCCTCCCACCTGCAACACACAGGACTCTCCCGTTTGAACCATGCCTCCAGTTCACTTGTTTTGTGCCAGCCTCAGACTGTAATCCTCCTACCTGTGCCTCCCATGTAGCTGGGGTGACCAGGGCACTCCCGTCAGGCTCAGCTCGTTTGTCAAGAGGGGGTTTGTCTTAATATTTTTCCCAGGCTGGCCTTGAACTGCCATCTTCTTAATCCCCATCTCCTGTAGCTGGGATTACAGGCATGTGCCACCATACCTAGTCCTTTTATGTGACCTTTAAAGATTTTTTTAAATATGTAACATACTGTCCTCAAGATCCATCCAACTTATGTGTTTCAATATTTCATTCCTTTTTCTTTTTTTTTTGGTCAGTTGTGGGGCACTATCCTCAGCTCTTCAGCTTAAGGCAAGCACTTTACCACGAGCCACAGCAGCACTTCTAGTTTTCTGAGTGGTTTATTGGAGATAAGAGTCTCACGAAGGGTCTGGGAAGTTGGCTCAGTGGTAGAGAGCTTGCCTAGCATGCATGAGGCCCTGGGTTCCATTCCTTGGCACCACATAAACAGAAAAAGCCAGAAGTGGTGCTGTGGCTCAAGTGGTAAAGCAATAGACTGAGCTGAGGGACAGCGCACAGGCCCAGAGTTCAGGCCCCATGACCAACAAAATAAATAAAAATAAAAGAAAGTCTCACAGAGTTTCCTGCCCAGACTGGCTTTGAACTGTGATCCTCAGATCTCAGCCTCCTGAATAGCTAGGATACCAGGCGTGAGCCACCGGTGCCCAGCTGTTTCATTCCTTTTACTGTCGAATAGTAGTCCACGAGATAGCCATAGCACCATTTGCTTAACATCCACCTATTGCTGCTTCCAGTTAGGGACTATTTCAAATAAGCTTGCAAAGGGCAATTGTGCGCAGGTTTTTGTGCAGATGTAAATGTTCATTTCTCTAGGATGAAGTCCAGGAAACAGGTTGCTAAACACATATTTAGCATTCTTCAAAACTGCCAGGCTGTTTTCCAGAGTGGCTGCCGTTCGATTTCACAACCCTACCGGCAACGCAGGAGGGATTGCTTCTTAGAATCTTCCCCAATACTTGGTATTTTCATGAATTTTTATTTTAGCCCTCTTAATAGGTATATGTGACTATCTCCACTTGATTTTAATGTTTTATTTCCCTAGTGGCTGGGATGTTCAACTTCCTTTCCTGTGCTGATTTGTAACTGACACATTCTCTTCAGTGTCGCCTCTCTTCAGGGCTCCTGCCCATTGTCTAACTAGACTGATGTTTTGTTTTAATACTGGGTTTTGCGAGCTCTCTGTATAACTCTGGTGAGTCCTTTGTGAGATAGGCAGTTTGTAAATATTTTCTCCCCGTCTTCTCTTTGCTTTCTCATCTTTTTGTCTTTTTTTTTTTTTTTGGTCCGGTCGTGGGGCCTGAACTCTGGGGCT